TTAAGTTTTTTGACAAACATGTAATTCAAACACAATTTAATACTTAAAACCTGTGTTAAAATAACTTCTGTTCAATAACAGATTGCTATTTCATTACTATACAAAACAATACAAAGCAACAAAAAAATCAGTGGCCTTATACTTGAAAAGTATGCTTTAGGTTAGGATGGAATTGTGATTTTTGTGTTTTTAATTAGTGTGTTAAATGCTTGTGAAGTAAACTCTTTCAGTTTATGGGAGAGAACCTCTAGAAATAGAAACCTGAAGTGAGAAAAGATTCACCATGTCCGATTATACCATGTTTCCAAGTTGAGTGTCCTATCTCTGGTTGTCTGATGCTCAGAAGAAAACCAAACACCCTGCCTCGCACATACAGTACACCAACTCGTGTCATGCAGTAGTTGGGGAGGAAAAGGAAGATTAATCCATTCTGATTCTTCGTGGTAATAGTCTTGACCTGAAGCACAAAGAGAGCTGTACTTTAACTTAGTTTATATAAACAAAATTTTAGTTGTAAAGCTTCTTTAAAAGAGAAGTATGGAAATAAGATATTCCTCTGTATGATACAGTGCTATCCTTCATTATCTGCTTCTGCGATTGTCTGGGTATCTTCTGTGCATACCTAATGGCCAATCTTCAATATCATGGCAACTTCAACATACGTAACTTACTTTAGCTCCTTTTTGCAGGTTAGGGGAATTGCTTAGCTGCTTCAGTGATGGTGCCTAGAAATTCCCAGGAGACATGTAAACGTTTTAAGCTATCAAGTTTTTAAAATTGAAACTGTTTATATATAATCTGTCTACTCGTAAAGCCTCTAGAACCAGGGAGGTGAGCCTTTTTTTGATTGGGGGGTCACTGACCTATACAAAAATGTCGGGGGCTGAGACAAAACAAAAAACCAAACCTCACTGACATGACCCCAAGCTGAGGAGACACACTCCCTACGTTCCCCTCACACACCAGAGCCTACTGGAGCCCAGCCTCGTAGATTTTGTGTGCTCCAGCCCTGTGGTGAGAGGGGCTAGAATGACAACACGGGCTCCACAATGCTGGAAGGGGGCATGAACCTCAAGGAGCAGATCAAAGGAAGCCAGGGGCCATATCTGGCCCCCAGGCTTGAGGTTCCCCACCCCTGCGATATAAGGTGGATTGTTTGAAATAGTATCTGAACCTTAACTGTACTCTTATGTATATGAAATAGTATTGCCGTACTTTACAACAGACTGCTAAGCATTGTGGCCCAATCTGCTTTTATAAAGGAACTAAGGCAGTGTTTAACATTTTTTTTATAAAGTACCCCTTTATTAAAAAAAAAGTACCCCAAGAGCCAGGTGCCCCCAGGCCTTCTGCTCTAACCTAATGCACTCACCCCTCCCCTAGAGCCAGGCACCCCCACCCCCTGCTCTAACCCAATGCCCCTCCTCTCACATTCCCCCGAGCCCCGAACCGGATTTATGGTAACCCTACCATTAAAGTGCCTGTTCCTGCTGCCTGACCCTGCCTTGGCAGCTTGTCTGCAGGGAGCAAGTGGCCCACCAGTCCGGGGCTCGGCACATGGGGCTGTGCGCTCCCAGCTGGGCGCCCCCCTAGCGTGGTGCCCTAGGGCAACTGCCACCTCCCCCCCGTGCTATGCCACTGATGTGGGGGGTCCTTTGGAGCAAAGCTTATTCTGCCGCTTTACCACCTTTTAGCTCCTTTCCGCAACGCCATGGGGAAGGAGTGATGGGGATGCATTCTACTGAGCTGCTGGCGGGGGTGGGGGCAATGCGCGTCTCCAGGTTCAACCGCACTTCCTCCTAGAGCGGAAACGAACTAGGAGAGGGGGCTGTGGAAACTTTTTTTTTCCTCACCACCCAAACCTGCCCCCCAACTTGGAACTGCCTTGGGTTTCACCAGAGCCACGACCACAGCTGCACGCTTTTCCTGCCAGGCACTGAGGTGCGTGTGCAGCGTGGCAGTTAACATCTGGGAGCGCAGCTCCGAACATTGAATTTGCCAGGCATATGCCACCGTCCCCTCCTTGATCCCCTTGGCAGGGCAAAATTCTGGACATTTTTTGCCAAATTTCACTTGCGATGATGTACTCCCCAGACTTCTCTTGCGTACCCCTAAGGGTACACGTACCACTGGTTGAGAAACACTGAACTAAGGTGTCCTGGATGATTTTTGGCATTGCGCATAATAGTGAAGCATTACTACATGAGTGTATGTGACAAATGTGACAAGCTTGGGACATGACCAAATATGTATTAAATGACTCAGAGAAATTAATCTGTAACCATCCTGCTGATTCACAGTATTAGCTCTGTGGTAATACTAAGTGACTTATCCAAGTGTTGACTAAGATGGATGAGTTTTATTGGAATGGCATGTCAGGATTTTAGTAGAGAGAATACATTCTTAGATGGGGAGGGAGCAGAGAGTTTTGAATATAAGAGCTGTTATCATTACAGCCTGAGGCTTTGGTTCACAGATATAAGTTACTGCTCTCTCAGGGGCACACTGCAGGCTCACTTCATACATCTGATTGTACTTCTATTCCTTCCTGGTTCAGAGCACTCCAATTATGTCCCGCTGTGCTCATCTCCTGCCTTGTCCTACTAACATATGGCAGCAAAAGAAAAAGCCCACTGGCAAGTGTGTGCAGAGGGGTTATGCTGTGGAATATTGAACTGAATACAGGCAGTCCCTGGGTTACGTACAAAATAGGGACTGTAGGTTTGTTCTTAAGTTGAATCTGTATGTAAGTCGGAACTGGCGTCCAGATTCAGCCGCTGCTGAAACTGATCAGTTTCAACAGTGGCTGAATCTGGACACCAGTTCTGACTTACATACAGATTCAACTTAAGAACAAACCTACAGTCCCTATCTTGTACGTAACCTGGGGACTGCCTGTAGTTCGAATTAAGGGCTGTGTAGCCACTTAATTCTAACTAGTTGGAGGCTAGGCCTTCCCAGGGTGTCCTGGTGGCCACTCTGGGCCAAACCAGGGAAACTTTTCTGCCCCCATCCCGGCCCCGGAGCCCTTAAAGGAGCACGGTCTGGCTACAGTGCTCATGCCAGTTGCAAGCCTGCCAGCACCCAGCCAGCAGACCCTGCACCTGGCACAGCATGAGCCAGCCACCTGCT